CTATCTATCTATCTATCTATCTATCTATCTATCTATCTATCTATCTATCTATCTATCTATCTAAATCAACAACTTGGTAACCAGTTATCCTTCATCTTTCTTTCTATTGGTGCCGCTAGGACTTTCTGAGAAAGTGGTCCTAGTTTCAGGGAAAACAAAATTAAGAATATTATTGAGGTAACTTATGTTAGCAAGCAATGTATGGAAACTGCGGAGTAGACACGGAAAGTCAGACGAGTCTAATTGGGTACTCCAGCCGCTGTGCGCTTTGAATAAAAAAAGCATAGCATATTCAAATCTGGGTCAAAAATGTGTTTGTTTGTTGTTTTTTTCCCAAGGCTCCATCTAAATATTCGTATTCCTCCTATATTTCTAAGACTGATACAAATATCCAGCAGATATTTAACACTGAATGATTTGAATACAGGATCAATACCAAAAATTCCAATATTTAGCAAAACGAAGTGTTCCAACTGAATAATTTAAGTAAAAGTTTAGTTTAAGTAAGTTGATTCAGTGTTTAAGGCCATTGGTCCACATCACACAATACAAAACACTCATTTGTTAAATAAAGCTTCCAAAATGAAAAAGTGCAGGTTGTTTGAATATAAGTTATAGCTTAAAACGTTATGAATGTTTCCACTACCTGACGACATAACAGTATATCGACGGATACTAGGATTCCAACTCAAATGGCAACTCTGGTCTTGAAGAGGGGTCTTTTAGTTTAGTTTTAGTATAGGTTTTACGGCGCTCGCAACTGCATAAGGTCATATGAGCGCCAGCCAGTAGATTAGAGGTGTTACAAGAGAGTAACAAACATAAAAAAGAAAAAGGGGAGATAAGGACGATAGATGTTTGATAGAAAATAAGTAGAAGCAAACCACACCAGAGCACCCGCCAACAACCCAGGAAGAGAGGTCTGCCAAGAAGCCAGTATAATTGTCAACGATCACTTAGGAAGCCTCTAAGGACTGCTTGCCTCAAGGCAAGGACTGTGAAGTTCACTTGCTTTGAGTTAAAGAAGAAATCTTCAAGGTCTCACCAACTTGCTAATCTTCTTGCGTAAGTTAATCAATAAGTCAACATATTTTTGTAGAATTTTTAGAAGAAAATTATTGGTCTCATAAAAATCAGAAACCCCATCTATCTATCTATCTATCTATCTATCTATCTATCTATCTATCTATCTATCTATCTATCTATCTATCTATCTATCTATCTATCTAACTATCTATCTATCTATCTATCTATCTACCCATCTATAAGACTGTCTATCTGTATGTCTGTCTGTCTGTCCGTCCGTCTGCCTGTCTGTATGTTTGTCTTCCTGTTTGGATGTCTGACTGATTATTTGTCTGTCTGTCTGTTTCTTTATCCGTCTGATTGTCTGTCTGTATATTTTAAAGTTGTTAGAAAACATTTCTATGGCGGCTCGAATGCATATCTATTTCCCTAAGGACCTATTTAAAAAACAACACTTTTAACTTATATCGAAAAAAATCTTTTTGCAAAGAAAAAAAGGAAGAGAGATAGGAATGGTAGATATTTGGTACAGAAGGAGGAGCAAGCCACACCGTCGCCCCCACCAACCACTCACAAAAAGTGACGCACAGGTTAACGCCATATGAACTATATGATATATAAATGTACATATATAAGTAACAGGTGATGGGTATCGTAAATAATAACAAATTGAGCAGGGAGGATAATGAAGGTAAAATTACATCGTTCCTGGTATCAATATGGCCTCAATCGCTAAATAAGGCAGACCTCCCTAATCTTCTTTTTTGGAAATAACTAAGCAGGAAGAACATTTGTAATTATTTTTCAACTTCTTTTATGTATATTATGATTATTACAGCAAGAAATTGTATAAACGAGTCTTTATGCGTCAATGTTACGGAAATGACGATTCTAATTTATAGTTGCGAAATACAGTTGTTGCTGTTTAGCGGAAGCTGAAAACGCAAGTAGGCGGGGAGTGAGAAATTGACTGTCGCAAAGGTAGAGTAGGGAAGAAAAATTTTGGATTTTGATTACTACAATTACCAAAAAACCGGTTACAAAAAACATAAGACGAGTAATATTCAGTAATATTTATCCATAGTCAGTAACAGTTCTATTCAATCTGACTTAATCAGGCTCTATCTTATTCAATCACACACCTAAGATTGAAGCCAGTTCAGAGGGTGGATCCCACTTTTCTTGAAGCCTGCATCGAAAAGTGATAAAGTCTGTACTTTATGGGAGGGGGGGGGTGATCCTAAATGTATGTGTCTTTTACGTCCCCATCGAATCGACACAAGTTTGATCATTCAGGAGGTAAGCTTCCGACCCTGCCTATCATGACCAACCTGTGCTGAAATGGACACACACAGCACCCCAGCAGAAAGCCCGAGATACTCGATTAAATGCTTCTCATCATTCGAGAATCGAATTCAAATCTTCCGCGCGCGACAGCTAAGCGCCTAACCGCTAAACCACAAGCGCCGAGTGT